ATTATTTTGAAGGGGATAACATAATTTTGGATGAATAAATGAATATTTTTTTATAAAAATGAAAAGTCACCTTACTTTTTGATCACACCTCGTATATACTTATAATTTTCACACTACTGTATATGTATATCTCTTATCTTAAGTTTCTATTGAAGATGTCATGAACAGACGACTATTGCATTCGGCTAATCAGTTTTAACACTAAGCTAATTGTTCGACGTCTCTGTCAATTATGTATTCAACACCGAGTGACATTGATGGGGTGAAAAGAGGGAACGGGTTTCGGACATTCAATTGCGTTTTATCATATACATAGTTATTTTATTATATATATAGTTATTTTATATAACTAGATTAATTATATGTATTCATAGTCGTTAGAATATTAATTGTTCAACTTGCGAATTTATTACTATTTTATGGAACTATTTTTATATTTACGGGTACATTGATAATGATCTAATTGTTTGGTCGAAACGTTTATTTTATTTTATTTTATTTAAAATATGATTATGTTTTAGGAACTAATCCGGCTTTTGTTCATATACCCTTGTATTACATTGTTTTAATACAAATAAATTTCCGGACGATATATTTACGTACTAAATCTTGCAAATTTTTGTATTAAACCTTGCGAATTGTTTCAACATTCGCTCTGTTCTGTTTTGAACATGATGGGAGACTTTTGTCCTTATTTGATATATATATTTAATTTATTTCATTTAATTAAATCGTATTTTTTTGTATTATGTGCGCATTTCATTTTCTAATAAAGAATTTTTATTATGAAATTGAGGCATTTGATTTGAAGATGTCAAAACCACAAAGCTACATACTTTAAAACTTATAAAAAAAATTTTTTTAATCCTTAAAATATTTTATAATCCAGTTAAGTGCAACATTTAAAGGTCTGTAGGAGGTCCCGCGAAAATTTTAACTGGATTTTTTCAGGGTGAACAGACCTACAATTTGAAGGGAGTAACGACTTATTTAAACACTTGAAATCTTACTAAAATCGATTTTCGACTCGAAATTCGATCATTTTTTCACATTAATAGGGCTATATTTCTTAAGGCGTAG